CACAAGACTCATGTTATAAATAGGGGCTTTTACTACAAACAAACATTACTATTTTTTCTTGTGTTTTTTTAGTTTAATATTATTTTTGGATAGTTGTTTATTATTTATTAAAGAAAAAATGATAATAAAATTCCTTTAAAATATATAAATGATAATTTAATCTCTCAAAATGTCATAATGCTTCTAAAGTCCTTGAAGATTTTTTCTATCATTAATGAATTTATATTAAATTACTAAATTATCTTTATTAAAAATTAATAATTCATAACTTTCTTTCTTATATTCGTAATAATGCAACAGGAAAAAAAAATTTAACATGTAAAGTTGTAATTTGCTGTTGCATTGTTATAAATTAAAAAAAAGTTATAAATATAAAAAAATTGTGAATCATTTATTTTTAATAAAGATAATTTAATAATTTGTATAAATTTATTAATGATAGAAAAGTCTTTAAAAATTTTAAAAAAATTATGATATTTTAAAAAATTAAATTATTATTTATATACTTTAGAGAAATTTTATTATTATTTTTTACTTTATTAAACGGAAGTTGACACATTAAAGGTGTAAAAATTTGAAGTACTTGTCAAAACCACCCTTAATAAATGTTAGGAAATATATTAATTTTTCATCATATTTAATTTTTCATGAGAGAAAGATAAAATGTTCAAGGTATTGTCAAATTAAACTTATATTTTAAATTAAGAAGAATTTAGAGGGAAAAAACTTACTCCTTCAATCTTCTTTATAAATTATTTTTACCAACTTCATTAATATTTATGTTAAAAAAATATAAGAAATAAAACTATGTAAAATTCTAACTATACTTTTGTATAATAAATTTAAAAAATAATCTCATCTTATTTTTTTATAAAAGATAATTTTAAAATATATTTTAAATATTATTTAAAAAGTTACATTATAATTTGTAAATAAAATTAAACAAATTTTTTAAAATATGATTTATAAATGAGATAGGAGAGAGTAGATTGTAACAACTTCCTTTTTTATAAGAAAGGACACGCATGGTCAACATCAATCTTCAAGGCTACTGGTACTAACGACCAGTCAAAAGTCTAATCTTCCAGTCAATGAAGAAAAACTCAAGCACTCTGTCGTTTCACTTCATGTAATCGTAATACTAATCTAATCTCTTCTCTAATTATTGGAATGCTTGATTCAAAACGGATCATTATGTGGAAGGCACGCGCAGTGAAAAGCTATTTAATCATGCGGAGCCAAACCCTAGATTGGTTATTTGCTTTTAACTATTAATTTACTTTTTTTACATAATATTTATAGAATAATCAATCAATCTTTATAAAATTTTATTTAAAAATATTTTTATTTATATTAATAAAAAAATTATTAATTTTTATTTAAATATCAGTTAAATGATTAAGATTTAAAGTACTTGATGAATTGATACCAACTTTAATAATATATTATAATTTAAAATGAAAAAAAGTATAATTAACTGCAATTCGTTACTGATATGAGGGTCTACCATTTGCATTATTATATATAAAAAGGAACAACATTGGCCACAAATATTTAATTTTTTGTTTTTTGGTAAGCACATATTTTATGTATTTTTTTTTTGGCTGAAAAGATGTTGGACAGTATTGTTAGACGTCGCACCAGAGCAATACGTTCTAGCTGGCGGTGCAGTATCTGGATCCTGTCAGTATCCATTATTTCAGCGTCTATCGGCGTCTCGATTTTGTCCCTTGGGTCTGTATCCAATGTTCCATATTTTGCCACATCATTCTATATTAAAATAATTTAATTTAAAAAAAAATCCTTTCTTTAAATTTGTTTATTTTCTATTTTTAAAATTTTTCTAAAAATTTATTTTACAAATTTTTTATAAAGAAAGTTGTAGTCTGGTTTACTTAAATTTTGACCTAATCTATTTAATAAAAATCTGTTTAAAAAAACTACTGGGTGAGTGTTTAAATTGTGGCCTGGTCTTGTTTTAAAAAAATTTTCTTTAGATTTTTTAAACATATTTCTATTAAATACGTCAGGTCAAAGTTTGAAAAAACTAAATTATAGATCTTTACTTAAATAGATCAAGTCAAAATTTAAATAAGTCAGATTATAGACTTACTTTGTAGATTTTTCTAAGTAAATTTTTATTAAATATATCAAGCTAGAATTTAAATAAATTAGACTGTAGATCCTGATGCAAAAATTTACAAAATAATTTGTTAGAATAAATTTTGAAAATAGAAAATGGGGAAAAAATGTAAAGAAAGAATTATTTTTTAAAAATTAAATTGTTTGAATATAGGATGATGTGGTAAAATATAAAACATTGGATGTAGATCCAAAGAGCTAAATTGAGACGTTTTGAGAAAATGGATATTGAGAGGATTCAAATCCTTAGGGATCATCAATAAATGTGTCAGAGCTACAGTAAGACTTTAGGACCAAGCTCGCTTTAATGCAAAGGCAACGCACTTCCTAATTAAATTACTTCAACGCATGCATAAGTAACATAAATAACCTTAACTTTATATTGTCCTCATAAATATGAACAAAGTTGCAGGCAAACGGGGCGAAAAAAAGAACATCAACAAATTGTTTACATAAATGTTAAAACAAGCTAGACATATAAATAATAAAATGTCTATGACAACTTAGAAATAAAACCCTTGTTATTAATTATTTGTTGATAAGAAACATTAATATTGAACCCAAAAATAGTGCAAAAGCATGATGATCTACTACAAACAACTACAAGACTCATGTTGTAAATAGGGGTTTTTACCACAAGCAAACATTACTATTTTTTTCTTGTGTTTTTATAGTTCAATATTTATTTTTGGACAGTTGTTTATTATTTATTAAACGGAAGTTGACACATTAAAGATGTAAGAATTTGAAATACTTGTCAACACTACCCTTAATAAATGGTAGGAAATATATTAATTATTCATCATATTTAATTTTTCATGAGAGAAAGATAAAATGTTCAAGGTATTGTCAAATTCAACTTATATTTTAAATTAAGAAGAACTTAGAGGAAAAATATTTATTACTCTAATCCTCTTTATAAATCATTTCCATCCATCAAACTTCATTAATATTAATGTAAAAAAAAATATAAGAAATAAAAGTGTATAGAATTCTGTCTATATCTCTATATTAAAAATTTAAAAAGTAATCTCATGTTATTTTTTTCTCTCTCATAAAGGATAATTTTAAAAATATATTTAAATATTACTTAAAAAATAACTTATAAATAAAATTAAATAAATTTTTTAAAATGTCATTTATAAAAAGAAAGGACACGCATGGTCAACATCAATCCTCAAGGCTACTTGTACTAACGACCGGGCGAAAGTCTAATCTTCCAGTCAATGAAGAAAAACTAATCTAATCTCTTCGCTAATTATTTGGGATGCTTTATTCAAAATGGATCATTATGTGGAAGGCACGCGTAGTGAAAAGCTATTTAATCTTACGGAGCCAAGCCCTAGATTGGTTATTTGCTTTTAATTATTACTTTAACATTTTCCTACATAATATTTATACGATGATCAATTAACTTCTATAAAATTTTACTTAAAAATATCATTTGTCCACATCAATAAAAAAGGATCAACTTTTAATTAGATATCAGTTTAATAGTTAATATTTAAGAGATTTAATAAAATAATCACTTTTATAATAATTTTGGTAATATCATAGGTATTTTTTATCTTTTTTCTCACTTTAAATTATTAGGTGCTCTTGACTGATGATTTGATAAATATTTTCATCTTTTTTTTTAGTTCACATTAATAAGGAGTGACATATGGCCAGCATAATTAGCAATATAGCAAGTATTTAACATCAAAAATTAATGGCATTAAGACAAGTTAATGGTTTAATCATTTTTATACTAACTTTAATAAAACCATGTATATTTTTGTTCTTTTCTCATTTTAAAGTAGTGGATGTTTATGGCCAACTACTTCGTCAATAATTTTAAACCTTAATCCTAAATTAAATGAATAATGATGATTGTGAATTTGTGAAAAGATAAAATCTAAACAAAATAGTATCAGAAGTTCAGAACTAAGTATCTTGAATATTGTGCCTGCCAGCCGCGTGAATGAACCCGTGGATCCCTTGTGCCCCGATTGGTAAGTCAATTTCAGCCAACCGGCAAATAATTTAATCCCCTAGGCAATCTTTCCATTTTAGATTATAAAATAATTTTAAATAAAATTATATATATTAATAAAATTTATTAAATATATTTTATAATTTTATTTTTTTTAAATAAATATTTAAATTTTAAAAATATTCTTCATTTAATATTTTATTTATAAAAGAATATTAAGGAGAGAAAATAAAATAAGAACAGTAATATAAAAAGATATTATTAAAAAATATTATTTTTATTAAAGTATTTTATATTTTACACGTTGAATCTCTCTTACAAATATTATAAAAAAAGAATATCTTAAAAATATTTTATAATTTAGGACAAATGAAGTATTATATTCATTTTGTTCACCAAAGATTTACCATTATGTCTTACGGTAACTACCACGTTATAAATAAGTTATCAATCTCTAATAAAATATTAATACTTAGTATATGGCGAATATTCAGGCAAAGATGGAGCAAAATTTTCGATTGCCACGCCCTCTTGTTCCTCTCAGTGCAAAGAAAATAATATTTATTACGCGATAATCATGTGGCTGGCAGCTTGATATAAATTATAATTATAAATATAAAATCTAAAATCTATAACAAATTAACCTATTATATTTAACCACGTTTCGTTTTACCGTTTTATTAGTTTCTGAAACATTCTGATATAAATAAAATTTTAGTTTGCTCCGTAATATGTTGCAGCTGGCAACATGCATGCACGCAAAGCGACAAAATAGAAACTTCATAATATTGTTATTAGAGATCATGAAAGCCTCTCTTCACAGAGATAGACCTTCGTGCATGATTTAAACGGAACCAAAAAAAAAAAAAACAAGAACGAAAGCTTAATTATACCAATCCCTGAATATATCAATAGACATAACTCTCACGCATAGGACTGATGATGAATCACAGGTTATTCAACACACACACACTCATGTATGTATGTTTCAGGCACAAACATATGCATTTGCGTGAATTAACTACGTTTCTATGGAATGTAAGCATCAGGAGACAACCTCGGAGAGACCAAAGCAGCAAGAGGCACTTTCTTCTGCAAGGCAAGACCAAAACTTTCTTCCATGTTCAACTCAGAAAGCCCATGTGGAAGCTTCCAGTCAAAGGAATGAATCAAGGTTCCGAGAATGTAGTGGACAAGAACGATCCCCATTCTGGTTCCGGCACAGATCCTCCTTCCGGCTCCGAACGGGATGAGCTCGAAGTCGTTGCCGCGAGGATCGATCTTGGCGTTCCGACCACTCATGAACCTGTCTGGGTTGAACTCCAATGGCTTGTCCCACACATTTGGGTCCCTTCCGATCCCCCAGATGTTCACGCTCAGTCTTGTTCCTTTGGGTATGTAGTAACCGTTCACCTCGCATGCTTCCGTCGAAACTCGCGGTAGGTTCAACGGCGTCGACGGATGTTTCCGGTATGTCTCCTTGCAAATGGCCTGCACAGGAATCACAGATTCGCATTTCATGTTTATGGATTTGTTTGATACTTGATTCATTTACGTTAATAAGTTTGTCTCTAATAGCAGACACCAATACGATGATAAGAGATATAGATATACCTGGAAGTAGGGGAGGTTAGGAATGTCGGATTCTTGGAGACGTCGTTGACGGCCGATGACTCGGTCCATCTCGTCATGAGCTCGCTTCATGATGGAGGGGTTCTGCAACATTTCTGATAGGGCCCATTCTATGATGCTTGATGATGTGTCAGTTCCAGCTGTGAAAAGGTTCTACAAAACGCACAGCACCGCACAATTAGGAACATGTTTTCTATAAACAATACGAGTCACAAATGTATTCAGATGCATATATCTAGAGCATATATTAGATCTAAAGGATGTGTTTGAAAATCAGTTTTTTTTTTTGGTATAATTATGTTTTGACTAAACAGTGAACACTGAAGTAATGCAAGTAAGAGTAACCTTGTCATCGTGTTCACAACCATGAATAATCAAATACAAATAATAATCTAAGAGGAGATATAGAAATTGCAATTTTTAATCAATTGTGGAGAAGATGCATATGGTATATTAATAAATGCAAGCAGTTTCTTCTCAACCAAAAATTTAGATGAATCATTTTCATTGCTCTGTACTTTAACCAACACAAAGAAAATTTAGATTATTTTCCATGAACCATAGTAATTAACCTAAGATTGAAGTATATATATTAATTAACAGAGAGATAAATCAAGATATATTTACCAGAAGAAGGGCTTTAACGTTGGTCATTGTAAGAGGCTCTCCCTCTGGGTTTTCCTTCATGTATTTGGTAACAATGTCTAAGAAATCAGGCTTGCCCTTTCGCTTATGAGCCGTAGCTTGATGATCTTCGATCATCTTGGTCAACAACACATCGAACTTGTGATTCAACTGCTTCATTCCTCGCTCTAGTCCCTGCAGATCAAATCGCCTCAAGAACGGTATGAAATCGCCGATGTTGAATAACCCAGCACTGGTCATCAGCTCCACCACCATGTCCTTGAACTCGTTGCTCTCCGATCCCTTCGTCTCGAACACTCTCTTCCCCAGAATCAATTGCCCTATCATGTTCGCCATCGCGTATGTCAGCATCTCCGGCACCACCACGGGCTGACCTTGCTTGCTCGCGTCGTACATGGCTCGCAGCATGTGGCCGAGCTCCATCACTCTGAAATGAGCCCAGTCGTCCAGAGCCTTCCCGCCGAGCATGTGCAGGTTGCTTATCTTCCTCTCCAGCTTCCACCGGGAGCCGTAGTCAGCGAACACCATGTCGGCGTTGTAACCAAGGATGATGGACCCAGCGTTGGGCGGCCGGTTTGAGAAGTTGACGTCGAGGGTTTTGAGGAACGCGCGAGCAGCGTCCGGCGTGGAGGCGACTACCATGCCAGTGGTGCCCATCTTGAGGTACATGACGGGACCGTATTTTCTGGCGAGCTTGAAGAGGGTCACGTGAGGCATGGGGCCTAGAATTGGGAGGGCTCCGAGGAAGGGCCACCCGGTCGGGCCGGGAGGGAGCTTCCGATTATGGCCTTTGAAGATAGAGCGGAAGAAGAAGCGAGTGGTGAAGAAGATGATAATGGCGACGGCGAGGTCTTGGAGGAGAAAGAGGCTGAGAGAAGCCATTTTTGTGGTTCTTAGAAGGAAGAAGGTGATGCGTGTGAAGTGATAACGAAGGTTGAAGCGTCTTTATATAGACATGCCTGTAGAGGAGTGGTCCTTAATTAGTCGTTCAGTGAAGGAGTTGCGAGACAAGAAGACACGGCAGTAAACAGGGATCTGCCTAAGTGTAATTTCGGACTGTTATGTTAGATGTAGTGATTTAAATTTAATAAGTTTTAAAGATATAAATTTAATTTAAAATTTGCAATGGAAGAACAATGAAGATAAAAAATAATGGAGAGAAACCACCGTGTGAACGAGGCTGACGCACTCTACAGTTTGTTTGTTAAAAAAAAAAAAAATCAGGAATGAGATTGAAGGATATATTTCCTTTTACATTTTTCATTTCCAAATTAATAGATAAATCACAATTAAATTTATATTTTTATATTATTATTAATTTACTCTTTTCGTCCAAAAATGTAAAATATTTTTAACTGAATCTCACCCCTTAATAAAGTGGTTATTTACTTTCAAACTAACCTTATCTTTTCATATTTACTCATATTAAATACCCTATAATAAATTTAAAGTCATTATCAATAGAGACACTTTTAAAAAAGGCAATGATTATATCTCAAAAAATAAAAATGTCTTATATTTTTAAATATCCAAGTCCTTAAAAAATGTCTTACAGTTTGAACAGAGGGAGTATAAATTTAAAATAAATTAAATTAATACTCCTTCCAATCTTACTTACTCCTTCTGTTCAAAAATGTAAGGTATTTTTAGAGGAATTAGATGTTTAAAAATGTAAGGTATTTTTAGTTTTTTGAGGTATAATCATTACCTTTTTTTCAAAAGTATCCCCTATTAATGAATGACTTTATATTATAGAGTGTTTAATAGGAGTAAATATAAAAAAATAATAGGGTTAGTTTGAAAGTAGGTAACTACTTTATTGGGGATGATATTCGATTAAAAATGTTTACATTTTTTAATAGAAGGAATATATATTAGATACATATTTCACATGTTTTAAAAAAATTATTTTGTTATTTTATGTGTAAAAAAACGTCACAACTTTCCAATTATACTCTTCATATGTTTAAAATTATGGGAAACTTTTTAACATAGTGATACCTCTAATGAGTGAATTAATTATCTTTAAAATTGAACACTCTTTCCATGTTTACCATTACTTAATAGGGCATCTTAATTATAAAATTTTTGCAAAATCTTATTAATTATATTTTAGAAGATCCAAAAATAATACTTAAAAATGCCTTAATTAAAAGAAGACAATGAGTGACCATATTATTTATGAAAATACTTTCTTAAATTAAGAGATAAAACCATAAGATTATTTTATCTTTTTTATTTGACATCTTATGATTAAGATCACGTTTTTATGTTTATAAAACACCTTATGAATAATATCAAATCTACCAAATCTGGGTAACAACTTGCAAGTACACATGAATGGCTTTAAATTAATTAATTGAAATGGCTTTAAATTAATTGATTGATTAATTAATTAATTGGGTCAAATTTAAAGGTTACTTTATGTGTGGAGTAAGTGGGAGGAAATAGGAATGTTATGATGATGTTTATGGAGAGAAGGGATCAGGTGGGAAGGAAATCACGTTTTTGTTTGGTGCAACGAAGGAAGGTGTGGCCGTTTTGAATTGCAGCTATGGCTGTGGCAGAGGATGTAGTCAGTCTCAACTAACAAAGGCTCACAAGCTAGGAATGACCGTTGCCATGTCATCCCAATATTTATAATTATCACAATATTATTAAATCTTCTTAAATTAAGTGGCCCTGGCGGGTTTTCTCTCGGCGCAGGTAGCGTCACCGCACAATATTTTTAATTATATCACGTTTTATATTAGAATTATTTAATATTAAAAAATATAAATGTAAAAAATATCTTTTGCTTACCAAAGAAGGAATAGAAAGATATTTAAAGAATAAAATACCCCGGTGCAATTTTAAAATAAGTTTTATCAATGAATTATCATTTTTTTTAAAACAACATCTTATATTATTATAACATCAAATCAATTAAGTAAGATCAGTTATATAAATTGTAAGATGTAATTGTATTTTATCAACAATTAAGTTTTTAAAAATATTATTAATTTAAAAGTCTCATTTAGAAATTTTTGTGAGCATTCGTTTTATCTTTCGCTATTTTTTTTTTTATATATTTCACTTTTCTTGTCGGCAGATTCTTCGTCATTTTAATTCCAAAAAGGAATCCTCTTAAACATACTTTAGAGACCTCATGTCTATAATGTTGTCTAAAAAATTTTGTCCAAAGTTCTTTATTTATTCTTTTTTTGGGCCAAGCCAAAGTTATAACACAGACGGCTCAAAGGTATTCAATTATTCATCCAAAGTTAATAGACATAATCAATCAACTTTCTTACAGACCCGACTTAGTTCTGATGACATTCTTGTTGTGGCTGAAGTTATCCATTCAATCATGTTGGAAATTACTGAGTTGATGGGAATCAAGTTGCCATGTCAAATTAAAAAGTAGATATTTGACATCAAGATTAAATGAGAGTTGACGGAAGAATTGATGGTGGCTTACTCATGATTAAATCAAAAACAAGAATCCTACCTTCACATTTATTGTAAAATAAAATATTAGAAAAAAGATGCTTTTTGATATTTTACTATAAATTTTTATATTTTTTAATATTTAAATTTTTATATTTTTTAATATTTTATATTTATTTAAAATTTAATTTTTTAAAAATTTAAAATATTAAAAATAAAATTATAGAAATTCAAAATAATAAAAAAATATAAAAATTTATAATAAAATACAATCAAAGTATGGGAATTAAAAAATATTTTTTTAAATATTTTATCACATTATTTTTTTATTATAAGTTAAATTATGACAATTGAAAATTTTAATTTGTGATGACCTCCCATATCATGAATGACGGTGAATTGTTGAAGAGAAAACTCATTTTAAAGAAAATACCCTCTTATTTATTTTTTATTTTTAAAAGCTATTTTTTATTTTAGAAAACATAAAAATTTAAGAATTTATTTGAAAAAAATGTTTGCCATTTATTTATTTTCAAAATTATTTTTAGTTTTTGTTTTTTTTAAATAGATACAACTTTAAATTGTTTTGGTTTTATTTTTCTTATTTTTAAAATATATCATATTTGATTATTAAAAATTATAGTTACCTGATTAATTTTTATCATTAATCACCACCATTAACTGCCTATAACAATCATTATCAGTCTATTTTTTAATTTTAAAATTTTTTTTCAATTGACAAACCAAACAAATTTTCATTTTTTTTTTTTTAAAATAATTTTAAAAAAAAAATAGCATCCAAGGACCACTGTATAAAATTTATATCCCATAAAAATCAAATGATTTCAAAATAGCTCTACAGATCTTTCATCCTTTTGACATATTAATTCCATTAATGAAAAGACTGAAATTCCCCTCAAGTAGTTAAAAAAAAAAAAGAAACTCTCATCATTACCGGCCGTTGAACCACCGCTAGCAGTGAGGCCGCTGAAGCCCTACTACCGATGGGGTCATCAATAATATTTTATTTGAGAAATAAACTTTTTAGGTTGGTGAGGGAGGGTTTGATCTTATGATTAGTGGCCACCTAAAAAGCTTGGTGGCCATTAGGCTACTAAGCCCTTTAATAATATATGACAAAAAATATAAGTAATAAATCAAGTAAAAATTACTTTCATATAATAATATAATGGTGTGCTGTTAATTTTTGAACAAAGTTTGTTATTTTACAAATGTCACTTGTTAATCTGACATAAATAATTACAAATTAGAGACTTCAAAATTTTATTCATTTTACTTGTTAGACGTCCCAAGTGTTATTGTCAATCATAAATAGGTTGTTGTCAAAATTAAATGGTTACTTGTTAGTGAATGACTAACACATATAACTAAACCCTTTCTATCAATCTTTCTAATTTGTTAAAACCATAATAGTTAATTTCAAATGAATTATTTAATGTCACTTATTAATCCGACATGGACAATTACAAATTAAAATTTTTAAAACTTTACTCATTTTACTTGTTAAATGTCCTAATATATTGTTGTTAATCACAAATAGATTATTGTCAAAACCAAACGGGTTAAGAGTCCCAATTCATTTACTAACAAATACCCATTTGATTTTGACAATAACCTATTTGTGATTCACAACAATATATTGATGCGTTTAACAAGTAAAACGAGTGAAGTTTTGAAGCCCCCAATTTATAATTGTCCATATTAGATTAACAAGTGACATTTGTAAAATAACAAGTTTTGTTCAAAAATTAACAACACATTATTATGTTATTACATGGAAGTGGTTTTGTGTTTGATTTACTACTCATATATATATTGCTATATGTTATAAAATGTGGCCACCAAGTTTTTTAGGTGGCCAAGGGTTATGGAATCAAACCCTCCTTTGGCCATATAAAAAGTTTATTTTTCAAATAAAATGTTGCCAGAGCTTTAGCAACCGATTGCCAATAACCCCAGCATAGGTAGTGGTTCGACGGTTGGCGTTGGGACGGTGGGGTTTCTTTTCTTTTCTTTTTTTAACTACTTAAGAGGTATTTCAATCTTTTTGCTTATAGAATTAATATATTAGAAGGATCAGAGGGCTATAAAACTATTTTAAATTATTTGATCTTTATGAGATATAAATTTTATACAGTGATCCTTAAAAACTATTTTTTCTTTTAAAAATTATATTACAAAATATTTTTAAAAATAAAAAATGAAGACAAAAATGAAATAGTGACATCTTTCTCAATATTCATTCTTTTTCTCTTGAATGTATCTACTATTCTAACTCTAATAATCTTTTTTAGCGTGGTAGTCAGAATTGCAGATGACTGTAAAAAGATCTTCACAGGGTGAGCTTGTTTTGGTTCAATGGCAATTTCTTCACAATAATGTTAATTGGGTCGTGTTTTTAATTTTGTACTAGCACTTTTGGGTCATGCTTATTTTCTCTGTTGGACCAAGTTGTTGTCATCATAGTCCCGCTCACTAAAATTAATAAATTATTAAATTAGTATCTTAATTATTTTAATAAAATATTTTATTTATGATCAGTTTTGATTATTAATTCCTAAATTAGTACCTTGATCTGACTAATTTTTCATACCTTAATTATTATTTATGTCATACTCCACCTTTAGATCTATTTGTTATTCTTATCTTGTGATTATAGGTATCCTAAAATTAATATATATTGGAGTTAAGTTCCGAATAGAAGAAGAAGAAGAATTTGAAGCAATACTTTTCTAAATTGGATGCTCTTACTTAATTTGTGCATTCACTTGGTAAAGGATTGATGCGTTTTTTTTTTTTTTTGAGTTAAACATGCTACTTATATTTTGTAAATAGTATAGCTTTTTTTTTTAACAGATTTTACATGATAACGTTAAATTAGCAATGAATAAATTTAATCTTTATTGAATAGTAGTTATATTGTAATTTTAATTGATAGCATTATTTAGGAATGACTTCTTTTCTTAATCACCTTTGATGGGACATGAAAAGAATTCCTTTTTGGTCTAATGCTTGCTAAAAAGACAAAGTTTAATGTTCCTAAAAAATTATTTTTAGTTGATTTTTTATTTTATTCTTCCTTTTTGTGTGAACCAAATGGTCCTGATATTCGTGGGCCATGACATGATTAATGAATCAAACCACTTATTGAGTTTCACATCATTATCCTGCTACTATGCCCCAGTAAGTCTATAATTTGTATACTACAAATTTCTATTTAAAAAAACCACAAATTATAATTGGATCGAACCATAAAAACTTTATCAGCAGCTACATATTCTCTTTGCGATAGATAATTTACAAACACTTTTTGTGGACTGCGTAGAGTTTGAAAAATATGTTATAGGGAAAATGCAACTTATAGTTCTTTATATTTAAAAGAATTATTGATTTAATTTGTTATGTTTACTTTTTATCATTTTAATCCTTAATGTTTTATTAATTTATCTAAGTAGTCCTGAGAAAAGTTAATATTTTAAATTACATTGATATGTTTAACAGAATGATGATATGGCAGCCAGCAATGTAAACTAATAATATGGGAAGCAAGAATGTTAAGTTGAATGAGAAAACTATTTCTTCTGTTAAAAAATATAACATTTTTTAAGAGTTTAAATGTAAGAATAAAGAAAAAAAATAAAAATAAGAGTAAGAGAGAGAAGGGTTTTACATAAAAATAGAGATTGACAAAGTATAAAGACAAAAACAAAAAAAAAAAAACAAAAAGAGAGAATGGTACACATGAAATAACAAATTTGTTTTCAAAATTACTCCATATATAGAGAAAAACTTGAAGGAAAAAAAATAGGGTTGTTCTGCCTTCAATTTTTGTTTCCTATTTTTCTTTTCCTTCTTTTTATATTTTCTCTTCAAACAATAAGGTATTAGTGTTCTTATCAATGTACTTAAAATTGAATCAGTTGTTGAATCAATCAAAATTAAAAATTTAATCGGGATCAAACCAAAATTATTAAAATAATATTTTTTTATTATATAATAAATAATAAATATTTTACAACATATAATACCTATTTAGTTATTTTTTTAAAGAAATTTACGATATGTAAACCCCTACTTGCTATTTATAGCCTGACCATATCCTCCTTACACGTTAAAATGAACAATAGCACCATGAGACCTGGAATTTTGAATTTCATTACAATTTTTTTTTTGATTTCCTGTAATTTTGCCAGACTTACCGATACACCCATCATCTCACGAGTTAGTCAGTCATCTCTCAACTTTTCATCTTTTTGCACGCGTTTTCAATTGTCAAATCTCTCTTCTTATTTTTTCTACATCTTCTCTCTCTCTTTCTTTCATCTTAAATTTCTTCATCTTCTTTCCTCTACTTATTAGTAAGGTATGCTGAGAACGCTGAGGACGGTAACGCGAAGAACGCCAAGAGCACTCGGGGACGAGAACGCTAGAGGTCTAAGACGAGAAGCTTGAAGAGAGAACGTGATAAAGTTTGAAGCTTTGCTCAGGGACAGCAACGAGCGAGGTGCAAGAAGTCAAGCTCAAGAACTCTGAAACCATGGAACGCGATCGACGAGCAGAGGAAAGAACGATATCGTGCTTCTGCCTTCTTCTGTTCTTCTGGTTTTCTGTCTGAGATTTTTTTTTGATTTTTTTTTTTGAGCCCGAAATCGACGTCGTATTGGAGGTCAGAAAATTTTAAAATACAACCCACCCAACTTAATCCTGAGTCACCGGGTTAATTCGGTTCAGTCATTGCCACTTCAAACCAGAAAACCGGACTGGACAGATGGCTGAGTCGCCGGTTCATCGGTTTGACCGTCCGGTCCGGTTTTGTGAACAATTTTAGCGATGGAGAGTACTTCCTTCGACCAAATGAATCGATTGTAGATGGGACGGATATTGATGGTTCCGGTGGCTTATGTGGCGATAAGGAGGCTGATTTTAATCTGTTAGAGGAGGAGTTTCAATTGCAGATGGCTGTAGCTATTAGCGCTTCTAATGCTAATGTCCGCAAGGGCCCTGAATCTGCTCAGATCGACGCCGCCAAGTAAGTAGATGAGGCTCGGCTGCCCAGCTTTTGTCACCGACACTGAAGTCCTCGTCCAGTTTCAATCGCTTCGTTATTAGGTATTTTTTTCCCCCCGTAGAATTTGATTTGGCATGCTATATGTTATTCCTGAGTTTTTTTTTTTCCTTTTTTTTTCCCCTCATTATTATGCTATGTGATACACTCCCTGTTAAATTGTTTCGTTAGGTTCACTTTTCTCATAGACAATTTGTTCAAACAAGATGCATAGACCAATTGTGTTCTTAAAGCTGGAAAATCAATTCCGATTCTTTTTCCTTTTTTCCTGGTCAGGTCCTGCAAGGTGTCTCAGATTTGGAATTATATCTTTTAGAGAAGTTTGAGGATGTTGACTATGAAAGAAGTGATGATGATGTTTATTTGAAGGCAAAATCTGAGAAGTCTTCTCTGCCAACGTGAAACAAGTCGTTCGAGCGAAGATGATGAATTTATATTATCAGACTTATCCCAAAAAAAAAAAAAAAAAAACACCATGAAGAAGAAGATGACTATTAAATTAAAGTCTTCTCTGCCAGCTAGGATTTTAATACGATGAATGGCTATGATTAAATGCTAGTCAACAGTCAGGATTTAATACACTAAAACGATGTTGCTTTAAGTAATGAACTGTTTCTGGCCGTTAGATGCAATAAACGGCTAAGATAAGGAGAATCAGGGAAGGCAGCACCAAAAGCACAGCAAACATCCTTCAACACGTAAAGAATGGTGTTCAAGAAATGGAGTGATGAATTTGTATTGCTTTATCCCATTTAAGAGATTCGTGTAACCTAGATTATTTGACGAATCCCCTCTCTTTTAAATTGTGAAGAAGAGGATAAAAGGCGAACAATAGGATATGAACCCAAAACACTTAAAATCTTCACCCCCAAACATAGGAAAATCCAATCTTTGTCAAAAAATGTGAAAAATTTGAACAAGCAAAGTTGAACCCAAAATACTTAAAATATATGGAATCCAAAACACAATAAAACAAATCTAAACAACAACATCAAAGATAAAGATGGAGGATGCTTTAGACTTATCAAAGTCAAGAACCAAAAATATGGCAAAGCACCACTTTAATTACAGTCGATTAAAGAAGAGGGAGAAGGAGAAGATGATGAAGATCTGCCAAAAAAAGAGAATGTCATCTTCACCAACAAAGATCTGGAGATGAGGAAGCGTCCTCATTGTTGCCATGTCCGTTGTTGGAGATGAGGACAATGGTTGAAGAAGAAAGGGGTGGGTGACGGCAAAGAGGAGAGTCAAGTGAAGGTTTCAGGTGAAAAGTGAGAAGGATAAAGTTGTCAATATGTTAAAATATTATGGGTAAAAGTGTCATAAAAAATATGGTTCCAGGGAAGAAAACCGGTTCCATCAATGGATCCATCAAATCAAATTTGATGAAACTGAGTTCCTTCAAGAACCAGAATCATGGATACCATAACATTCTAAAAATTGAAGTCAACTTCCACTTCTCGTTCTCCTATTTTCATGCTGCCAAACAGGGCATAAGTATTTATAAATTATCCACTTAAAAGTTTTCATATCGACATCAAAATTTAAAATCACACCTTGTGAATTATAATCTAACTTTTACCAACCAGACCAACCTTATCAGCAACATGCTTATTCTAATATAATCATCAATACACATACACATCGGGGACATCGAGTACACTGAGGTACACATCCTTTATTTGAAGCTTTGGACAGAAATATACAGTAGGATGGCTCAGTTTTCCTCTGCTCATGCTGAAAGTTCAGAACGCTGACCAACTTTAAGATGTAGATTTAGCTCGATTTACTGGAGCTTGAAGGGAAGACAGATATGTAGCATCTATCTTGTCAATTCCATCATACAGATAACTGAAAGGTGGCATTTTGATGTATCTGCCGGTACCAGGAGCAACTTTCAGTTCATTATTTTGCCAAACAATTCTTCCTCCAGCTATGGTCACTTCAACTTTTCCCTGAGCAAAAACAAACCAAACTTTGAATCTCCACAATGCATCACAAGGGTTCAATGATAATCAATTGAAACATGAATGATGAAATTAAACGGAGCCTAAGGACACTGACAAGCGCTAAACTAGCTTTTCATCAACCTCTAAGCCGTCCAAGTCAAATTTTTTGAATTATAGCATTTCTTGTTTTGAAGCATGCATAACAAAGAATGAAAAATTGTTTACGGAGAATGATGGCTAGGTATCAAAACATTAAATTAATGACAGTTAAGTATCCAATTTTTTTTTTTTGGGAAAATGAGTTAAAAATATCAGTTCATACAATTCAAAATTTAAGAGTTTCAACTACAGATAATGCTTTGGCCAAAAAAAAAAAAAAAAACTATAGATAATGCATTTAAATTTCAAACGTAATTCTCATAGCATAATTGTGCTTCATCTTTGTAAGATATTTGCAGTTCACTTTTTTTTTTTTTAAAAAAAAAAAAAAAAACTGTCTGGACCTAACTGTCATTAATTCAATATTTTGGGACCTAACTGCCATTTTTTCAATTGTTTATCAACAGCCCATTCAAAAAATGATGATTGAAGTATCTAAATTCCAAAGGAGGAAAAAAAAAAAATTCCGACTCATCTGGACTCTGATCTGCATGACCCAAATGCTGAGATATTAGAAGGGTTACATAATGTAGAGAAGCCAATTTGGTGAAAATACAAAATCTAAACAAGTCAAATGCTAAGAAAAGTAGTTCATGGTAGTGCATGCAGCGTCTACAGTTTTAAGGAACAGTCGTAATGTCAAATGTTTATATGAGAGCTCATGAATAAGTGCTATGCACACCATTCCAAGAGTCTATCAGTAAATAAATTTGCATTACGTTGTACAAGTCTCCACCCAATCACTCTCATTCATTCGTCAATATCCCACAATCTATATAATGTTCAATAATTTGTAATGCTTCTCTAATCGTATCCATTAATTGTAGAGGCTTGGTCTACTAAAACCTATTATACTGAAATAACTACGACAGCAAAAATCAATTTTAATATAATAACTAAAGGCCTGAAGCTATAGACATTTAAACATCCAATCAAAATCCTCTGCATTTACTAAAGTCACTATATATAGTTATAGTGCATCGGAAAAGAGAGGAAGATAAGACATGATGGGCGTAAAGTGGAGGAATGAGTCCACACAGTCACCCTATTGTATCATTTAGTCTTTGAACACAAAGCTGCATGACTGTTGAAAATTTTTCTTAATGTCATAGGAAATTTCGGAAGAACTTGTGCATGAGCGGCCAACAAAATAAATCACATAACCCATATTACACATGTCAGAACATACTAGTCTACAATATCATTCCTGTATTATTATGGCATTTTTCAGAGTAAACCTTACTCCAAGGATATTTGCTTCTCCTAATTTACCAACTTAGAATCCACAAGCACGCCCGAATATTCTTTCACATTTAGTCACTAGATATCAATATCTTTTAAAACTCCAAGAATAAAGCACTTTAACATACTTGTCTCTAAGAAGAAGATTACTTTCTTGCTTTCTTAGTTTCTTTCCACATATAAGCAGCAAATACTTTAACATGCCTGGATCAGGATGGAGTATGCTAAATAAAAGCCAGTACCTTTCCTCTCTTTCCCTCAAAGACATTTGCGTCTAATCTGGAGTGGTGGGATTTTGCAGTTATCTCAAAGCTTGCATTTGGATTGAGTATGATAATATCTGCATCAGATCCTGCAAGGATAGCCCCTTTCCTCGGATACACATTGAAGATTCTAGCGCTAAAACCATCACAGAAGTCATTAGCAAAAGAAAAAAGAAATTTAGGAGCTTCATCAAATTGAAATAAGAAAGAAATGAATAAAGGTTTTGAATTCCCAATCACACTTTAGAACTGGATGCCAAGCTTACATTAAGTTGAAGCATACAATTGAGGGAGAACAAATAAAGGACTAAAAAAGAATACCATTCAGTGCTTGTCAAGCGAACATAGTCAGTAACAGATATTTTGCCAGATTCCTGTAAGATATAAAGCAAAAGTTCTGGTCAAAAGGTTTTTGTTCCTTTTTTAACTGAATTTGTCATGCAAAGGAGGGTTATGCAGGAAATAGTGATGCTTTGTGCTTACCACCATTGTATCCCATACCAAATGCATCCTCTCTTCAATACCTGCAGTTTTCCATTTGAAGCTAATATTAGGTTAAAACATTTCACATCAACCAGGAGATGCACTCAGACCGAAAAAAACAATTCCAAAAGTTCCCAGGATCATCATGATTACCATTGATGCCATTAGGAATTTTCCGGAAATCATCAATTCCAAGTGCTTTTTGGGTGGAATTAAAGGCACAATGATCAGTTCCTACCAGCTGCAGATTGTAAGAGGTATCCGAATGGTCAAATAAAAGATGGATAGGAGAAAATGGTTCAGGCAAGGCATTGTTAATAAAGAAATAAAAGTCATCAGAACTGTAAGGATGCAACTCATGACTGAGGTTACCATCTAACAAGTATTTCAGGGAAGCCTTATTTTTAAATGATAACTGTAACTCAATATGTGAAGCTACAAGTATTATTCTCTCAAAGAAATAAGGGCAGGAAAATATGGGTTGAATAAATGGAAAGTGATATCTCTTTCAGGAAAATATGCGAATGCAAGAGGGAAAGATTATTACTAAATAGCGGGCTTCAACAGTGACAAACAAGAATTTGCCATAGAAGATAGGGTTAAAAAAGAGGAATTACTAATCATGGACAAATGGGAATTTTTTTTTACGCCAATGAGATCAAGAGATTAATAGAGAAGATTATTTCTGATAGATGTTTCACTGTTGGTTTATACATTCAAATGTCACGTCAACTTCCTTTGTCCAACACCTTACAGGGACAATCATGGATGAACTGCATTGCTATGGCAAATATAATTACATTGTTCATGAAAATTCCTGTTAAATTTCTCAACAAGAATTTGCATAGTATGACTTGGTAAAATTCTGTCTAAGAACTACTCAAATTAAAACCTCTAACTGTTAGGTGACACCCTTTCAACAAAGAGCTTCCTGGACTTTGATCTTGGGCTTGAAGCCTGAGAGGGAAAGGCTAAAGAAAGTGCAACAGGTTATAAAACTATGGAAAGTATTCTTCCAGAGTTACAACATTTATAAACTATTTAGACTAGAAGCCAGTGATCAAAAGTTTAAACTCTCAGATTAAGTGACATATTGTCATAGTATGTACCTTGTTGATTGAGTTGATATGGTTAAAGTTTTATCTTCACTTCTTCCAAAATACAATATACTTTGATACAAGCAGTGGTAAACCTTATGGACTGTTAATGTTTCAAATTGAATGGATTCTCAACTGATGCGGCAAGTTAAGGTCACTGCTTCTTTGATAGACTCGATTTCCAAAGTCTAAGAAGATTAAATA